CTAGGAATTTTAATATCGCTAGTATATAGAAAGAAGTCCGAAGTGGTAGAGATTTTAGTACTATTATAGAGATTAATATATATTAGTAAGAATCTATAATAATTTAAGAAAAATAATATTACCTAGTAATCGCGGTAATAATAGCTATAGTAGATTCTAATAAATCCTTATAGATCTTATTAGAATTATACTTCTAGGCGTAACCCTTACCTTAGATATATAGCTTATAGAAAGCCTTCTCTAACGCGTTGCGATTAGTAGTACTATACTCCTTATTAGTAGAGGTTACTAGAGGCCTAGTAGTAATCTATACTAATATAAGTAAATCGGCGTAAAGTTCTTTAAACTTACTTAAATATCTATAAGTAATAACGCTTCTTAGTTATATAAGTACTATATATTATAGATTTAGTACTACCGTAAGTAATATACGACGGAAAGTAATAACTATAATAATATATAGCTAGATTATTAGAGTCCGGCCTAGGTCGGGGTAGATTAATGGCTTTTAATATATTAGTAACGTATATACATTAGGAAAGATACGGCGCTCCCAATGCTTCTAGGTCTCCCGGTACTTCTAAAGTTATCCTAAATGGGTCCCGGTACTTCTAGAGTTGTCCTAATCCTCCTAGAGTCGTCCCGGTACTTCTAGAGTTATTCTAATCCTCCTAGAGTCGTCCTAGTCCTCCCGGAGTCGTTCTAGTTCTCCTAGAGCCGTCCCGGTTCTTTTAGAATCGTTCTATCGAACGTTAAGAAAACGTTTAATCCCGTTATATACCGGCATATATAGTAACGTCCTACTAAATACCGGCATAGTATAGCGATACTACTTTATATTACGACTATACTTTAAGTATCTAGGAATATTCTATAATATACCGGCGGCGTATAGTATATTAGAACATGATCCCGTTATATACCGGCATATATAGTAACGTCCTACTATATGCCGGCATATAATAGTAATACTACTTTATACTATGACTATACTTTGAGTATCTAGGAATATCCTATAATATACCGGCGCATGTCGGAACATTCCGTTATATGCCGGTATATATAGTAACGTCCTACTATATAACGGTATAGAATAAATATCTTATTTCTCTTCACGTATAGATATATATAGACATGTAATCACGAGTAAACAGCGGTTCGTATTTATACTACCATGCTATCTAGTCTCTTAGAAGCTAATTAACCGACTACCTTACTTACTTCTATGCTACTATATCTCTATAGGATTAAAGTATACGCCTATTACTAGTATATTAGGTATAGCTATCTCTACCGTAGCTATATCTCCTTTTTCTAGGTCTAAGGCTTATGTCCTCGTGCTTTCGATTACCTTACCTAACGCGGCGAGTCTAGCCTCGACCTCTAAATAGTCTAAAATCAAAGTATATATATATACTATAGGCCGATATTATCCATGGCGATAATATCTTATACTTGCCTACGGCCACGTCTCCTTACGTAAGTATTAGTCTACTAATACTATAAAACCGGCGACTATTAGGTCTTGTCCTTCGCAGACCTACGAAGCTAATACTAGTAGAATATATAGAGAATCCGACTTAGTCGACCTAAATAATCTATATATCTTATTTAATTCGGACGTACTTAGGCCGGCTAGTAAATATACTAACATTTTCGCTTGTGTATATGGATATAGTACCTATATATATTAGTAAATTACGTTACTAGTAGATAGTATAAACACTTACTAAGTATAGGAATATTAAGCTTGCCGGTACGGCACATATAAGTACGATTTTCTCTAGGCGGTCGGCGGATGTTCGTCGCGCGCGTCTAGTACTTTCATTATAAACGTTATTATTAATAAAGTTACGGATCTAGTTTACCTTCGAAGCGTGTTTATTAGCTAGTAATACTATCTCCTTTCGCATAGCCTTATCTAGCTATAGAAGCGCTTCGCGTACGGGATTAGTAATTATCTTACTCGGTATACTATTATTACTATCCCTCCGACGCGTAAGCGTGATATTAATTTACTCGTCTTCTATCTTTTTATTAGTAAGGTATATAAGTAGTATATATATAGTAGCTAGCCTAGCCTAATAGTAGTATACGTTAAGCCCGGACCCGGTACCCCCTTTCGATTTACTCTAGGCGGTAGATTATACCTACGAGTCCCGCGGCGTTCCGTTAGACTATAGATTATTAAACTATCTACCTCTATTCTCGTATAACCGTATAATTATCTTCTCTAGTTCTATAGCCGGGACGGATATAAACTCTACTACTAGCTTTGATATCGTAGATAGACATGCCTCTCCGTTAAACCATTTAGTTAGTAGTTCCCGTTATAGAACGAATAGTAAATACTAATCGGCTACCATACGTAGTATACGCTTACCTTCTATGGTTTCTAATGCCCTACGGACTATCGCGGCCATCGTATCTACCAGCTTACCTTTTATTAAACTAAGGAGTTTATTCGACCACGTTATAATAATCTTCCTTATAGTTTTATTCTATAGGCTCTCGAATACCCTTTTAGTAGTATTATCGTTAATATAGTTAGGTAACTTATCCGGAGCACCTACCTCGATAGCCGCTAGAATATCTACTAGACTATTCGAGAGGGGCGTTATACTAACCTATATACTAAATATAAGGGCATTATATATCGTATATTTATACTGTTTTATATCGGGGTTCTTTACGGAATAGAACTCGTCTACTATTAATATACTAAGGAATACTACTTCGCGAGTTTAAGTATTTTTAGTACTAAATTATTTCGCTCTCTTTACTCTTATAACCACGCGTCCCTTAAAAGATTTAAGATATTAGGGTTCCATACTCTAGACGGTACTATAGATTATATGGTTCTTCGCGTATCGCGACGGAAATTTAGTAGTAGCGGTTCTATTAACGGGAATCGACCATGCTCTAATAATATACTCCTCGTCGGTCTTGAATTTAGTAGTATTACTAATATCGACGCTATGTTCCCATTCGGGGTGTAGGCATCTCTTAGCTAAGTATTATCGGTCTATATACGAGAATTATCGGATACTAGAGGCGTTAGTAAGGGTTTTCGAGTACGCTAGCCGCACTATTATCTTTATCGGGTTCCGTTTATTAATTTAATCGGTAAACATGCTATCTATATCGTTATATATCTATTTAAAGCGCTACGGCTAATGCGCTATTAGAAGGGACCTTAGGTAGTATAGTATAAATAGTCCTTAAAGGCGGGGCACATAGACAAAATCATTGGTCTAGCTACACGGATATTTAATCGGATACAGAGATTATATTAGGCACTTCCTATCCATGCCCGAGTCTTAAGTCGGTTATAGGTAATTTCCTAGATTAAGTTCTATGTTATCGCGTAGAAAGTCCTAATAAAACGCGAGGCGGATGAACGTTATAAGCACGATTATCTTCTCTAGCCCTAGGCTATCTACTAAGATCTAGTACTTCCATAGACCCGCCCGCTACTTAAACATAGTAACTACCGTGAGTAACTAGCCGGCCTATAGCCTATATAACCCACTTATACTAAAGGCTAGATATAGAGTAGGTATATGGCCGAACTCCTTTATTAGGTCGTCTAGCGCAAGCCTAAATATACTTATAGTAAGTAACCGCATCTCTTCCGTATAATAAGAGATAGCTTAGACTACTTTATTAGAGTTATTAACGGCGAATATTCTATAGGTACATTAGTATGGTAGTATATATTCCTACTTACTTCTTAGTATAACTTACGCTTCCTATAGTTTCGTACTAACATCGTTATCTACCGGAATTAAGTCCTCTATATCTAGCTTTACTTCATCTCCGTTAGAGTTATCGTCTATAGAAAGGATTTTAAAGTTAAGGCTATTCGCTAATATACTATCCGATATATATCTACTATATAAATTATCTACTAACCCGAATAGTTCCTGGTTTTTACGTGTCTACTAGTCGATATCTAGTAGTATAATATATTCTAGTTTTAGGCGTTTCGGAGAATCGACTAGGTTTACTATATTATCCGAGAGTGTCCTCTTTATTTCTAGCAGCTATAGATAAGTCTCGCCGGTATCTAGAGGCACAACGGCATTCGTAGGGGAATTGTCTATATCGGTAATCATAGGCGCATCTATCTTCGACACTACTCTAATATTAGTATCTAGGACTATATATATATATATATATATCTAAGTATACTAGCTACGTCGTCTTCTATTTTAGTATCTTCTACGTTCTCTTTCTCTGTATGTTCCGACGGTAACTATAACTATATCTCTATAGCTAGTGTATTTACGCGTAGATGAGCTTCGCTAGACACGACGATATTCGTAGGTAGATTATCTATATTAGTAATTATAGGCGCACCTATCTTCGATACTACTCTAATGTTAGTATCTAGAACCATATATATATATATATATCTAAGTATACTAGCTACGTCGTCTTCTATTTTAGTATCTTCCACGTTCTCTTTCTCCGTATATTCCGACGGTAACTATAACTATATCTCTATAGCTAGTGTGTTTACGCGTAGATGAGCTTCGCTAGACACGACGACATTCATAGATAGATTATCTATGTCGGTAGTTATAGCCGTACCTATCTTCGATACTACTCTAATATTAGTATCTAGGACCATATATATATATATATATGTGTCTAAGTATACTAGCTGCGTCGTCTTCCATTTTAGTATCTTCCACGTTCTCTTTCTCCGTATATTCTAGCGGTAACTATAACTATATCTCTATAGCTAGTATGTTTACGCGTAGATAAGCTTCGCTAGGCACGACGATATTTATAGGTAGATTATCTATGTCGGTAGTCATAACCGCGCCTGTATTCGATACTACTCTAATGTTAGTATCTAGGACCGTGTGTATATATATGTGTCTAAGCATACTAGCTACGTCGTCTTCCATTTCAGTATCTTCTATATTATCTTTCTCCTTATGTTCTAGCGGTAACTATATCTACGTACCTATGCCTATAGTATCTATATCTAGTTTAGTCTCTATTATATCTATGGTCGTAACCGTCGGTACTAACTTACTATTTATAGCCGCGATATGCCAATTAAATTCTCTAGTAACGGTTTCCTTAACTATCCTATAGAGTATAGTAGTGTCTATGCCACTAGTTTCAAGCTCTATTACTACTTCTTTACTTACTATCTTAATAATGGTAGCCCTATATATATTATAACTTATTTCGGGTATTAGGTATAGGCCTTAGAGGTACTAGATATAAGGTAGAAGGGCGCTAACGCTTAAGGCCTCCGTACGTCGTATATGCGTATTATAGTTAGCTATTCTATAGCCGGTAGTTAAACTAGAATAGTCGTAACTCTTATTATACCTATCTATTCCTATATACGACTTAGGCCATAGATAGTAAGACGGCGTTAATGGTAATAAGATATAAAAACTAGATTTAGGCGGTAGAAGTTAAGTTACCGCGTTTAGTAATTATAACGTAATTTTAATAAGTACGGAGGAAGTAAAGTATATAAGTAAATATTTAATTATTAGAGTAGATCTTATACGATTATAGTCGTAGTAATAATATAGCTAGTAGAACCGGGCGTATCCCGACGTGAACTAGGTAGACGCCGGCTTATACTAGTATTATAACGTCTTAACCGAATATATACGCCATAGTTATATAGCTAGTAGAATCGGGCATATACCGATATATAGTAGATAGAAGCCGTCTTACGTCGGATCGCATTACCTTAGCCAAGTACGCACGCCACTCTCACTACCTCTAGCACCCTTTTCATTATCCTATTAGTCTTTAAAAGCGATATCCATATCCTCTATATCTAAGGTACTTTTAAGGCTTTCGAAGTTACTATCTTTAGAGCTTATAGATTAGTCTCGCGACTTCCCGGGTGCCGATAGTAGTATATATAGTATCGCTAGAGGAAGGGTTAAGTCGTTTAGGTAATGCTATCTACTACCTATAATACCATCTCCGTAGGTATCTCTACCATCGTAGACGGTAGCTTTCTATTACTATTATTATACTAATCGTAGCAAGTGTAGTATTAGGGACGGAGGGGCGGATTTATTCAAGCGTAATCTATATATAGCCGTCTATACTATCATGTGTTAGTCGCTGGTTTATATTTCGTTTTACTTTAGGTATACTATCTATATTCTATCTAAGGCCGAGGAGTATTATACTATTACTATATTCTAGGATATATTTAATTACTAACTATAGGAGCCATCTAATATCTACCTCTAGTTCCGTTTTACTTATTATATACTTAACTACTAGCACGATAGAATGCATGGTAGTACGGCTCTAGTTAAGTACCCTCCTAGTCTTCGTTATGTATTAGACCCTAATTCGCCGTATAAATACTACTAAATTAATACACGAAGCGTCGCTATAGTCTTTCCACTAGTTAGACGTAGGTACTAGTATTTTAAGGAATGCGTTATCGTCGAATCTAATCATGAATTTAATTTTTCTTATAGTATATACGTTAGTAGGCTATGGGACCGCTACGAGTATAGACTATAAGGTCGTGGTATACGAGAGCTATAAGGTCGTGATAGACGGGGGTTATAAGGTCGCGATAGATAGAGGTTATAAGGTCGTGATAGGCGGGGATTATAAGGTCATAGGATATAGAGCTATAATTACACGCCTCTTCTTACACTTAGAGATAGTTTTTCTATAATATACGGTTTTCTATACTATAGTGCGTACCTAGTCGTAGATATAGTATAGCGCCTTCATCTCTATATACTCTACTACTCTTTCCTATACTACTAGGAATTCGCCCGCTACCTTATTAATAATCTCACGTGCTCTTTTTACGCTAAGCTCGTTCTTAGTTTAACGTCTATGGTCTACGAGTAGAGTAGCCGTATATACTTCTATATATAGCTACCTTACACGCGCCTCCATAGCTTCACGCTTTACTTATATATCTAGGCTTAAGATGCGAAGTAGTACTATAGTAATTACTATATTCGGACGGTTACTTTGTTATAGAATCGGATTTAATATATTAATCGTATGTAGTTAACGTATATAGTTAATATAGTATTTATAATTTATAGACTAATTATATAGTATATACGTAGTATATCATAGACGCGAGGAAGACGGAGGTATAGATCGGATAATAGAGGTAGAAGCCGGAATAACGAGGCACCTACTAGGTGAACCTTATTTATATCCTTATTATTCCTCGAACACGCGTTTATAACACGTATGTAACTTAGCGTGGCGTGGTCGGGCGTGTAGTTATTTACTTCATGTCGTCTAATACCCTTAATAGAATTAGATAGCCATGATTCTTATCTCGTAATATTATATCGTAGGTAACTACATCTAGAACGGTATATGGCCATACATGTATAAGGTGCCACATTGGTCTTATCCTATTTTATATTCATGTGCTTATCCCTAGGTACTCTCCGAGTATTATAAGCCTATATTTCGTCGTATTTAAGTATCGTATCCTTCCATACTTTTAAAGTACGCGATATTTAGGTTTACTATATCCCGTATATATCATGGTTAAAGTCTAAAGGTAGAGGCTTTAATTAGGGCGTATGTTTTTTTATATTTTCTCTTTAGGTGGTAATATCTCCCGATATAAAGACTAGAAGTAGTTTTAAAAGTATAAAGGGGATAACTAAAGGAAGCCTACGTTATTAGGCCGGGGCTCGCGGTAGATATAGAATCGTGTTTATTTCTTAATTAGTAGGTACTAGTTAACATGCCTAGTAGCGCCGTATTATCTAATAGCGCGTCTATACTAGAGTAGACGTAATAGAAATACCCTTAATAGGTCTTTAATAGAGCTAAACTATCTACCTAGTAGGATGTCATGACTATATCTAAAATGGATATAGAGGTATACTTACTAAGAAGCCGTAACTAAGTAGCCCTAACACGTAAGTCTAATTGTATACTATTACTAATTAACTTCTATATCTTTATATATTATAATACTACCGTCTCGGCCGGCATCCTCGTAGTCTCTATCGTCCTAGCTACTAGTAGTTACTTCGTTAGTAGTATTAGCTCTAGTAGTATTAGTTCTAGTAGTATTAGTTCTAGTGGTATTAGCTCTAGTAGTATTAGCTCTAGTAGTATTAACTGGATTATTACTATTTATACGTGCTAGTAATTTAGTGCGGCTAGGATAATAACACTAAGTATAACCGGTAGTCCTATAATTATAGTAAAACGTACCCGTAAGCGTCTTGGGTTTAGAGTAAACATTAGCTTTATGGCCGATGTCCTAATAGTTATTACATGTAAGCGTCGACCCTCTTAGATACTTAATAGACTTATATCCTTCGACGTTATATTTACGGTAGACCAGCGGCTTATAGGGCTTAGTACTATCGGTAGTTTATTAATTACTTTATTCTCCCCTCTCTCTAACACTAAGTATAGGGCGACTATATTAGAGATTAGGTATGTTAGAGAGTAGAGGGAGGCTATCTAGGTCGGGGGTCGTGCACGTGTATATTGCATGAATCTTAGAGTACTTATTCTATATCTCGCCAAGTACGCCGTCTAGGACTTTCTACCTCTTAAGAGATACGAAGTTAGTAATAATAACTATTATCTATTTAGCGCGCGTAATAGTAATAACGTTATAGTTTACTTCCGAGAGGAAGCCAAAGCGATTAGTTTAGACCGGGTTAATAAGGACTATATCGTTATTATAACTCTAAGAACCGTCCCATGAACGCCATTAGACAAGCTTCTATACCGGCTTAGGTAGGGCATTAAATCGAGCTTTATCTACTGCGGTAAGTGTAGTTAGAAGCGAGTTCCTAACCATCCCTTTAAACAGATTACGTTAGGCGGCGTATATAGAAATATAGAGTACGTGATCGAGTATAACGCTATAATAGAAGAGCTTAGTAATAATCTACTAAGTGAAACGTAATAAGTCTATATTATATATTAAGTTATTTACTATGTGCGCGTGATCCCCGTTAATGTTAGCGTATACGACGTATTAATAGCCGCGGATTCTAAATATTTATTAAACGGTCTCTACGAGTAGTATATTAATATTATTCATTATGCGGGGCGAGGTCGTTAGCTCGCCCGAGTAAGTAATTAGCGATATAACGTTTATTATCCTAGGAACTAAGCGTTCTAACTTAGTAAGGCGAGTAGTTAGGAAACTATATTATATCTAGCGCTTTATAAAGGAGATCCTCTAGTTCGCGGCCTATATATTAGTACTATTACGCTAGTAGGTATCGAGCTAGCGTAGGTCGCCGACGTAAATAAATGTTAGTTACTATTCTATAGTAGTATAATTAACGATAATCCCGAGTGTATTACTTTTAAGGATACACGTAGCCTCTTCCATCACGACTAAAATCGGATATATATTATAGACTACCTTAGCGATATTCATAACATATAGGGTCCCTATATAAATCTAGGCGTAGATAGTAACTAGGTCCTAGGTAGCGAGGTATAGCTCGTTCATCCTATTATACTCCTTCTTAGGCATGTCCTTATTATAAGCGTAACGTTTATAGATAGCGCGTAATAGCCGAGCCGTTTCTTTCTCGAAATTCTTAGAGATCTATTTATATTAGTATCGAGATTTAACGAGTCTAACGACCTCGAGCGTAACGTAACCGGTATATAGTTCCCATAGACGAGCACGGGGATCCGTGCTATATTCTGATAGTCGTTTACTATAGTCGGCCTAGGCTTACGCGAGGATAGTACCGCCTATTACATCGTTCTAGGTTGGCCTAATAAGAGGGTCGCCGCGACGAGATAGTCTAGCTATAGTAAAGAAAACCTCTTAATTAACGGCTTCGGGGTATCTTCGAAGAATAACCGGTATCTTTAGAGACTTATAGTAAGTAAATATATTACTTATATATTTATATGCTTTTCTTATAGCGTC